AGCCGCGGCGCCGGCCCAATGTCTCTTTATTTTTGACTTCTTGGCTTCAATGCCACTTCTGCTGGGAAAATTCAGACCGATCAGGCCTAGATGGGGTGCACTTTTGAAATATTCACATGCAAGGACTGCGCTGTGGTGTAGTGAGTAAAGTTGCCGCCTGTAAGGCCAGCATCACATATGGGCACCAGTTCGATTCCTAGCTACTCCACTCTGACCCAGCTTCCTGCTCATGTATTTGGGAAAGCAGCTAAAGATGACCCAAGTGCTTGGGCCTCTGCACCCACGTGGGAGACTCAGAAGAAGCTCTTGCCTCCCGGCTTCAGTGTGGCCCAGCCCTGGCCATTACAGCCATTTAGAGATGGAAGATCTCTCAGTCCCTCCCTCTCTCTCTAACTCTGCCTTTCAAATAAAATAAATAAATCTTTTATAAAATTTAAGAAATAAATATTGACATGCACCTTGTATTTCTCGTAACATGCAACATTTTCACCCTATATTATTCTTACCCACATATCCATGTTTCCCACTACACAGCATACCCAGCAATACCAGGAATCATACCAATACTATTATTATCCCGTCTTAAGCACTCAACACTTTGTAGTTCCCTGCTCAGAACTTGAGAAAAAGAACACTCTCAAATCTTAGTACCCCTTCCCACCTGTAGCAGAGAAAATGCAGTTATTACTTGCTTTATACATAATTTTTTTCACATCAATATACAATAGCCCTTGTTGTATGATTTGGTCTTCATTATGGTTCCATATTTTCCTGTGCCCACAACCAAGTGTCTATGTAGTAAATACTCAAAAATAAGCCATTTTCTTTCCTTTGCCAGGGAAGTAAGCTCTAAGGACATCCAAGAGCATCTCAGTCAATTTTGCACTCTCAGCTACAACAAGAGCCACTTACGCTGGGCGTTAGGAAGAAGATGAATGATGAAAGGAAGGAGAAATGGACTGAGAGGCAGACAAAAGCCCTGACTTGGATCTGTCTCAGTCAAGACCTGGTCTCCGGTCCTCACAGCCTGCATTCAGAGAAACATAAAGCTTCCTAAGAAGCTTGTTAACTGGACTTTTTATTTAACAGATGCAGTAACTGTTTTAGGCCTCTGGAGTTTCCTGGATCAACGACATCTTGCGGTGCAAAATGCTGAGTTCTCAGGACACCAGTAGACCACAGTTTACATGGTTTTTATAGACAAAGCTACTTTGCTCACATAAGTTTGATTTTTGTTTGTGGCTTAGGATAAGGCAAAATGAGAAGGAACTTTCCAAAAAAAAAGCAGATTTTTCCTGAAGACTGCTTAGGATTGACTTCTCTGGAACTGTTACTGCTGTCCTCACCCTTCTCAGTGATGGTCCAGGATAAATGTCAAGGTTTTCATGTGTAGATGGGCCTTGAAGTGAGTTAGGAGACAAAATGGAACAGCTGTCCCTCTCCTCTCTTGGAGTTTGGAGGAAGTATTGGACTGACACTATGGGAAATCAGGAGGTATGATTTGAGCAGACACACAAAAATAATGCCTCATCAAAAATCTGACCTGCAGGCCTCCCATAAGGACCAAAATGCTGCCATAACAGAGTCTGGTTTTTGAGTTAAAAGCCTTTATTTCTAGGGAAATTTGTATTTGATAACACACAAATAATAACTGAAGGAATGCACTTTTGCTACTTCTAGCAAATAATTAGCAGCGTTAATAAGTATATCAGAGATTAACTCACCAAGCAAGACTCTATTACATTGGACACCAAACAATTAAACTTGGAAAGGAGAGAAAAGGAAGGAAGAAAAAACTAGTTCCAGAATAGAATTGACTATTGGAAGGGAAAATCATGTTCAAATATCTGAGAAGGGGAATAAGAGCTAAAGCAGACAATGGGTATTGAGGGAGGGAAATGTCTATTTTCTAATGTTGGTAATGTTGGGTGAAATAGCCCTGGACTTAAAACAATAGTCAGTGCATTCATTCATTCATTCACCGATATATTAAGTTCCTAATCTGTGCCAGAAATGTTAAGCACTTAGAACATTGGCAGGAATGAGAAACTCTTAATAGGGAAGTAGTCTACATTAAATGTACAACTTCAGGGACAAAAGCAACACAGAACACACAAGTAGCGTAGAAGACACGATGGCCAAATCTCTACAGAGCTTGTGTGAGATTCTCTAGGCTTCTTTTGAAAGAAGCAGCATGTGCTGCAGAAAACAAAGAGAAAATAAAACAAAGCAAAACCTGTGACTGAGGAAGAGTCCCTGGGGACTTGTTCCAAAAGAAGACATGGTTGGAACTGATCTTCTACTGACCTTCTGAGGCTACTGTCTTCAGAGGTAAAGGGGAATATGTGTGGGTTAGCAGAGATACTCGAATTTTGAAAGGCTATGGAATTTCTAAAGCCTTTAAAAGAGAGAAAATAAACTAAAACAATCGTTCCAATTTTCTGGAATCTTTCAAGCATCTATTAAATTAGAATGTCCAATTCCTACCAATTCTACCTCTGTCAGATATCCATAAGAATGCACAACCAGATACAGGTGGACTTATGAAAAAATATGCTCCCACTGGCACTTCCTTGGTGCCAACAAACTCAGAGTGCCATCCAGCGATAGGAAACCACAGTTCTCTGGAGGCTACCAGTGTAGCCCCTGATACAATCAAATCTGCAGGGACTTCTGTTTTGTCCCATTCACAGAGCAGCTGTGGTCCTGATGTTTTACATAGACTTTTAGGGAAACTGCTTACTGTAGGTTGAACAGAAGTTGGCATCCCAGACTTACGCATATGTTTAAACTCTGAAGTCTTAACGTTAAGGGTTGATGGATTAAGGGTGGAGATTTGATCTAATTGTGGCATCTGTGGATGGGTCAGGTGGGAGGTCTGCAGGTCACTGCACTTGCACTTGGTAGGTAGTTCTCATGGGGGCGGGGGCTAGTTAAGCTGAGTTCAACTTACCTTTTCTCTCTGCTTACTGGCCCACCATGTGATATTCCTCGGCACCTGCTCCACCATGGCCAACCTCCACTAGACCAAGGCTGCCTGATTCTGAACCATGAACCTTCAAACTGTAAGCTGAAGTAAACCTTTTCCTTCCTAAGAACTTAGGTCTTTTAGTTGAAGTAGCAAAAAGTTTGCTAATACATGGGTTACTGGTTTCTTCCCCCCCTCCTTTTTTTTTCCTGCTAGTGTCTTCCCCAAGTTAGTCTCCGTAAGAATCAGACATGAGCTCAACTGGGAGCTGGAGGAGCGATGAACAACATGCAGAGCTGACGCAGGGCTGCCCTGCTCTGGTTGGTGTGCTGACTTCATCCCTCCTTTCCCCTCCAAGTTCTTCTAAGAGGTTTCTCAGTGCACACAAAAAAGAACTCACCCACTGTTTTTCAGCCAAATTACACCTGCTTTCATCTCCCGTAGAACCCTCCCTGTACTCATACTCACAAAACTGCACAGCGATTTGGAATATTATGGTTTAATAATTCAAAATAATTAAAATGTAAAATAATTATGGGCTTAGTAAGAGGATGGGCAGGGTGGGCAGTAGCAGGAATTGGAATCAATTAACTGAAAAGACTATGAATGTTAAACCCCTTACACTTATGTTGAGAGCATGAGAAGCCAATTATGTTTTTACAAATAAAATTAGATATAGAAGATCACCTGGGATGGGTAAAACAGGATATTAATCTAAAAGAAAAGAACCCCTTTTCTGCCACCTGTCTTGCTAATACAGAGGCTACCAGCAGAATCAGGGCCAATATTGATAAAATCCACCCAGTTGCTCTTTAAAAAAATATGTCCTATAACACAAAACAAGATTTAGAAGGCAGTCCTTCTCAATCTGATTTTTAAAATATAACATTGACCATAATATCTATTCTTATGAAGAACAATGAATCTGATTTTCAATGGATGTACTTCACAAGTTCTTCACTAGTTTTTAAGAAAAACGGCCGTACCTTCCAAATATGATATATGAGGCTTCAGTATAGGAAAACACCAAAATGGGGAGCCATTGTTAACCATAAAGAGTTGAATTACTTTCTCAGATAAAGTTGAAATAATCTTTCTATACATCATATGTCATAAGAGGTCTTTAAATGTGTGATGGTTTCTTTTTTAAGTTTCATCATTGTAATTTCTAGGTGATCACTATTTAATGAAGAAAACTTACACTCCAGGAAAATATCTGTGATTATTTATATCATTGCTTACATTAAAATTTAAACTAGTAAAGAAAAAAATCACCCTTAAGTGACTTCACTGAAATATTTTTAAAAACATATTGTTTAAAAAAATGAGCAAGACTTTTAAATAAATTTGGTAAACAGCAGCATTAATAGATTGCACCTAGAACAAATGAAAAAAGTTATAATTACCTACTGTGATGATGGGCTTTTGAGACTTATATATAAGGAAAAGATGAATATTAGGTGGTGGTTCATATGGCTAAAAATACTTTGCCTGTTTGTGGAGTAGAAGAGTTTCAAAATATTTATAATTACCTATTTCCATCTTAGTCCTTATTTCTAGCACCTTTACCCAATTTCTAGTCATTTGCTCTTGCTACAATAAAATATGCAGTAATGATAACATTACAAAAATGTTTGTGATGAAATGAGATTTGTATTCGTTTCCTGTAATAAATTATCAGCAACCATAAACAGCAGAAATTGAGGTTGGGCATTTGGCAAAGTGTTTAAGATACTGCTTGGGACACCTGCATTGCAAATCATAAGCATGGAAGCAAGTCCCAGCTCCTCTGCTTCTGATCCAGGTTTCTACTAATAGATCCTGGGAAGCAGCAGGTGATGGCTCGAGAGTTTCAGTCCCTGCCATCTGGATGGAGTTCTGGGTTCCTGGCTTCAGCTCTTGTGGATGTCTATGGAGTGAATAAGTGGACGGAAGATCTCTCTCTGACTCTCTGCTTTTTAAATAAAATAAAATGAAAATGAATTAATAAATACACAAATAAATAATAGCAATACAGAAATTATTTTCTCACAGTTCTGGAGGCCGAAGTCAGAAACGAGTGTGCATCAAGGCTGCACTTCCTCTGCAGGCTCTGGTGGAGGTGCATTCTTTGAGCTGGGCAGGCACCACTCCAGTCTCAGCCGCATCATCTCTTATTCTTTCGTCTGTCTCTTGTCAGTGTATTTAGGACCCATCTGGGAAATGGAGAATAATTTCCTTATTTCAAGATCCTCAATTGAATTAGAGATTCAAAAGACCTTTTTCCCAAATACGATCAAATTCAAAAATTCTAAAGTTTAGGATATGAATATGAATATCTTTTAAGTACCATCATTCAAACCACTACAAATGGCATGGTAAGCAAATGAAAAAATACTTGATAGTGACTACATACTTGTATGTGACAAATGTTGATTGGTAGGTAGAATCATCATTAGTTACCCAGTCAATGAAAGTTTAATTGATCCAGAGGAGAATGAAACAAAAGTGTACTGAAAGGCTAGTATATGACAGGCAGAGGGGGAACTGGGTTTTATGTAGCCTGTTTCCTATTTTTTAAAAAATTAATAATTTTGAATATAAAATAGATTTTATAAAAATATTTATTTAGGATGATGAAAGGATTAACAATAAACTACAGTTTATAAAACTGACAAATACAGGCCGGTGCCGCGGCTCAATAGACTAATCCTCCACCTAGTGGCGCTGGCACACCGGGTTCTAGTCCTGGTTGGGGCGCTGGATTCTGTCCCGGTTGGCTCTCTTCCAGGCCAGCTCTCTGCTATGGCCCGGGAGTGCAGTGGAGGATGGCCCAAGTGCTTGGGCCCTGCATCCCATGGGAGACCAGGAGAAGCACCTGGCTCCTGCCTTCGGATCAGCGCGGTGCGCCGGCCGCAGCAGCCATTGGAGGGTGAACCAACGGCAAAAGGAAGACCTTTTTCTCTGTCTCTCTCTCTCCCTGTCCACTCTGCCTGTAAAAAAAAAAAAAAAAAAACAAAAAAAAAAACTGACAAATACAAGGAACATAAAATCCAGGAAAATATCATATCATTTTGGTTATTAATTAATCATTTCTATAATGTCCTCTGAAGACCTTTTATCCTATAATTTTTGTTCATTCTTTTTGATTGCTCATTTATGCAATGGCTTGAATATCTTTTTGAATAAAAAAGAGAACTCAGTCTTCTCTCTAGCATGGTCAGTCAATTCATTTTGTTGTTGTTGTTGTTATAATAACTGAGTTTTTTCCCAGCTTTAGCACACAGGAAATTGAATATTTTTAATGTATTGTGATTACTATAAAAACCACAGTTTTATGGTGCTTTTTTGGACAAGCTCCTAAAAAAAACTCCACACCTTCATCTCACAAAATATGCCTCACCCTAGGAACTTGTCCAGATCCTCTCCACCTTTTGTGAGCTGGCCCTGCTGAGACAGAACACAAATGACCACAAACCAAGGCACATAGGGTCCTCTGTTCCAACAGGGAGGAAGTAGCATTTGTTCAGATCCTTCTCCTTTAGAATGAAAGATATGGTCTGGGAAACAGTGAGAGCCACTGGGGTCACGTTTTCACCAAGGACTTGGGCAGAGGTACAGATGCTGGTGACCCCTGGCCCCAGGACGCCGGGCTTAAGGATGACCCTGAGGATACTCACTAGACTTTGTAGGGGACCTAAGCAAGTGGGGGAACCTGAAGTCCTAATATAGGTGAGCTGCAACTCAAGCCCACCTCTACTCAGATATGAGACCATCCACAGATGGATGAGTAGATAAGGAAACAGAAATTTAAAGTTTTATTTTCAAGAACTACCTTAAAAAGCTTTAAAGCCATTAGGGATATAGAATTACAAAGTGAGTAGGTATTAGTAATGTTATTTCTATGTTTCTGTAAAATTTGAACCATATATGCTGTGGAGTCTTAAAGAATACTGTTATAGACTGCATTATCTACAGTTATAGATATATATATCCACTAGAGAAATGTTTAAGATAAACTCTATACTATTAAATGAGCAGGAACAATGTCCATATCTAAAGATATAGCCTCATATATGCTTTAAAAATAGCAGTTTTATTTAACACTGAGCAAGTATCAGTCAGAATGCCCTGAGTATAAACTACAAAAATGCTCACTTTCATATAATCTCTTGCAAAAAAAATTATGTAACCTGTCTATCATAAATCTGTCCACACAGTAAGAACAAAATTACTCAGAATAGCAAAATAACCATTTAAAGTGCTGTCTTACACTAGCTCACTTTGGCATGTAAGGTACACAGTATAATTCCTAAGAATAAACCAGTAGAATAATTTGCTTTATGTTAAGAAAAAAAAAACGGAATGGCATTCTGAGATACAGCTGTATTGACTATACGATGAATATTCAACATATGAGAAACCGACAAAGTTATCTTTATTCCATCATTAAGCATTTTTGTGACAAGCTGGGTGTTCATCCCATTTGGGGGATTTTGTGTGTGTGTTCTTTGTATCTAATGCTTGCTCATGCCCTTTCTTGACATACTGCAAGACTAGCCTTTTCTTTTCTTTTCCAAATTTCTGATTACCCATATTGTTAAAAACTCACACTCAGAGAACTCTTTTCAAGGATAAGAAGACAAAACATTGGTAAAAACTTCATTCCATAATCAAAATCTTGATATAATTGTTTTTCCATCAGCCCACCTTAAAAAAAAAAGTATAAGAAATAAATGCAAGTGTTTTCATTGGCTAAGATGTATCTTTAACTATTTTGCTAACAAAGAAGTCTACCTCCATTATGCTTTCAGATTGCTCCTAATTCAAGGAAAGATAAGTCCTTTTTAAAAACACAGTATACAACTTCAAAGATTTCATCTTCTCAAGATAAATGGTTCTTCTCATGCAACTTTCATTGACGTATACAAATCAAAACATTTAACTAGAGGGCTTTATCCTGTTTTTGATAACTCACCGAAGTTATATTCACCTAACAGCACATTGAAATCAATGTCCAAAATAGGTTTCTGGTGTTAAGCTGGAAAACAATATATATAGATAATTAGACCAAGTTTTTATCTCCAGAATCCTTCGTTTATCAAATTTTCTGAGAAGCTTACTATGAAATTTATTTTGTAAATTTTTAGTTTGGCAAACCTATACAATAGAAGATTCCATATCTCCTTTCCATAAACGTGGCAGTAAAATATATCTTCCAAGTGAAAAAAATTCCATAGGAGACTACATCATCAATATAACAGCAGAATCTTTGTTCTCTCATTTATTATGTATTCACCACCTTCTTTATGTATCTCATTGTCCCAGAGTTCATGACCAAACATCAATACATGTTAACACATTTTCAATATTTATAAGTTAGGGGCTTAGGGCCAAGAGTTATCAATAATGGCCCTACTACTCCATTCATACTCACCAGCATCTCAATTACACTGCCAAGCAAGAGGCATTCTCAGGAATTTCTGTAAGCCAGTTTAAGAAAATCTCATTTAAATCTGCTTTTAGGATAGAATGCCAAACATCTCACTTACACTAGCACCTCTCTCCCTTAGAATAGTTCTAGAAACGATTTTTGTTTGCCACATGACAGAATGTATAAACAGGTGGCTGAGCTGAAAATTATACTTTTGAAGTGTTCATACCAAAGAGGAATAGGAAATAGCATTGCCTACTAATATAAATAGCAATGACTGGTAAACAAGATATATAAATGTCAGAAATGCATTTTCGTCTAAACAAAGATGAGTGAGAAATGGCACATATTTGATACAAATATCCACCAACAAAACTTGGCTTATTTTACTCAACACCAGATAAAATCTACTTGCTTTTTCAAAATAACTGCAATGTAGGTGAAAAGGTTTTTCAAATGACATTCATTTTCCATTAATAATGCACATGCATGAAAAAGACTAAAATAAAAGACTTTCTATTTATGCAGAAAATGCAATTCAGACATATTTTTGTAAGTATGTCTAATCAGAATTTTATTTGTAAGATAATTTAAAGGATTCAAACAGGACAACTGTGCCAAAAAAGGGAAGAATTCTCCTTTGAAAATACTGTTAAAACAAAACTCACTTAATGCTATACCAGGAACTAAGGAGGGAACCTTGGCTGCCTCAGGGTTTCCTAGAAAATATTTAATTTAAAAAATTGTCATTTGTTCTTGAAGAATGTTTTGAAAATATTAGGTGGTTTTATTATTTCAGAGTACATGGAAATCTATTTGATTTTTGCTCCTAATATATAGATCTCTGATTAATTAAGATTTTACTGACTAGAATCTAAAATGATTTCCTGAATCCTAGTGCATGCTAATGCCCACATTGGGAGAATAAGTCTTGTTTGAAAATGTGGTTTTATTTATTCAACGCTAAGACACTCTTATGATGACAAGGTATCATCAAGCATTTGCCAAAAGAAGACTCTTGTTTTTCCAGTGTTTCAGAAATTCAATTGACTGGCAGAACTAGAAAAATCATTACTCCAAGTGTATGTTTTAATATTCAATTTCACCTTATACTCATCTTAACAAGAATCATGAAAGTAAGATTTTATTAAAGACCTCAAGGAAGCAAAAATGGAAGTCAATAGAACATTAAAATTCTTAATTTTTAAATATCACCCAGTGACTACTTATGCCTACTTAGGACAGAATTCAGCTGTTTGTTTAATTATTTATATGAAAGAGGAGAGAGATATCTTCCACCCTAATGCCCACCAGAGCCTGGATTGGACCAAGCTGAAGTCAAGAGCCTGGGTTGTATTCTGGGTCTCCTATGTGGAGAGCAGGGAGTCAAGTATTTAAACCATCATTTTCTGCCTCCAGGGGATAAATGAGCAGGAAGTTGAATCAGAAGCAGAGCAAGGATTTGCACCTAGGTGCTCTGGCATGGAATTTGGTATCCTAACCATCTCATCCTCTGCAGCAAACGCCTGTCCCGCTGTGAAATTTTGATGTGACTTTTCTAACTCATATGGAAATAAAAACATAAAACTTGAAAATAAAAACGTACATATTAAAGACAGTCCAAAAATTAGGCTGACTGTAGACAAAGAGGAGACATAACAATATGAAGTGTGATAATAGTCATCTAGCCTAAGAAGACAATCACCAGTTGTCTAAAAAAATCCCAAGAGTATCTGTTTTAGAGTATACACTGATCATGTCTCATCACCTATAAGTGGTTTACTTTCATTTATTGAGGTATAAAGAATGAATTTTAGAGAAAATTTTCTGCAGAAAATAGTTTAAAAATGCAGACATAATAAAGCCAAGTTTTGTTGTTGTAAAATTTATTTATGAATACTGCATTCACCTATGACAGTTATATTAACTTTTATTAACTTCTATATGAATTTAATGTGTTTGCACTGGGGCCAGCGCTGTGGTGCAACAGATTAATGCCCTGGCCAGAAGCACCGGCATCCCATATGGGTGCCGGTTCTAGTCCCGGCTGCCCCACTTCCAATCCAGCTCTCTGCTATGGTCTGGGAAACCATTTGAAGATGGCCCAAGTCCTTGGGCCCTTGCACCGCATGTCATGGGAGACCTGAAAGAGGTTCCTGGCTCCTGGCTTCAGATGGGTGCAGCTCTGGCCATTGCAGCAAATTGGAGAGTGAACCAGCAGATGGAAGATCTCTCTCTCCTTCTCTCTCTCTCTCTCTCTCTTTCTCTCCCTCTCCTCTCTCTGTGTAACTCTTTCAAATAAATAAATCAATCTTTTAAAAAAAATGTGTTTACATTTCATATACTTAAGTATATGAGCATACATGATCTTATGCACACATTTTGCATCATGGACTATTCTTAAAAACTAAGAAAACAGGTGCTGGCGCTGTGGTGCAGTAGGTTAAACCTCCGCCTGCAGCACCAGCATCCTATGTGGGCGCCAGTTCTAGTCCTGACTGCTCCTCTTGAGTCCAGCTCTCTGCTGTGGCCTGGGAAGGCAGTGGAAGATGGCCCAAGTCCTTGGGCCCCTGCACCCACATGGAAGACCGGGAAGAAGCTCCTGGCTCCTGGCTTCGGATTGGCCCAGCCCCGGCCGTTGCAGCCATTTGGGGAGTGAACCAAAGGATGGAAGACCTTTGTCTTCGTTTCCCCCTCTCACTGTCTGCAACTCTGCCTCTCAAATAAATAATAAATTTTAAAAACAAACAAACAAAAACTAAGAAAACAACAGAATATATTCATACATTTGTGCCCATCTCGAATGACAGAAAAGGGAGCCATGTCAAGCAAATAGGCACTGTGATTAGTAGGCCCCAACCAATGAAGTTATGTTGATTCCTAAGTAAAATACAGAGAATAGGGGCCGGCGCTGTGGAGTAGCAGGTAAAGCCAATGCCTGTGTATGGGTGCTGACTGGAGTCCTGGCTGCTCCACTTACAATCCAGCTCTCTGCTATATCCTGGGAAAGCAGAAGGTGGCCCAAGAGCTTTGCCCCAGCACCCGCGTGGGCAACCCAAAAGTAGCTCCTGGCTCCTGGCTTCGGTTCTGTGCAGCTCTGGCCATTGCAGCCATCCAGGGAGTGAACCAACAGACGGAGGACCTCCTCTCTCTCTTTCTCTCTCTCTTTCTCTCGCTCTCTCTTTCTCTCTCTATCTCTGCCTTTCTGTAACTCTGATTTCAGATAAATAAAATATTTTAAAAAATAGAAAATAAAAGGGAAAAAAAATGACAGGAGAAGAAAAGAAATGTTGGAATAACTGGCCTCAAAGTGTGGCAGAGAAAAAAAAGCAATAACATGGCCAGCGCCGCGGCTCACTAGGCTAATCCTCCACCTGCGGCACCAGCACTCCGGGTTCTAGTCCCGGTTGGGGCGCCAGTTCGGTCCTAGTTGCTCCTCTTCCAGTTCAGCTCTCTGCTGTGGCCGGGGAAGGCAGTGGAGGATGGCCCAAGTGCTTGGGCACCTGCACCCATGTGGAGACCAAGAGGAACACCTGGCTCCTAGCTTCGACATAGTTCCGGCCAGAGTAGCCATTTCGGGGGTGAACCAACGGAAGGAAGACCTTTCTCTCTGTCTTTCTCTCTCACTGTCTAACTCTGCCTGTCAAAAAAAAAAAAAAAGCAATAATATATTATAGAAAAAGAAGATTTATGCTAAATGTAATTTTCACTTTCATAAAGAAAGAAAACAGAAGAGTGAAGATGAAGAAGAGAGTAAGACCCCGTATTTTAGGATGTAATGAAAGAATCAGGAATTGAGCCCTTATTAAATGGAAGGCTACAGGGACTCTAGGAAATCTGACTAGGAAGCAAGACTTGTTAACACTGTGACCCCAGGATCAATCCTCAGACCTCCTAAGGAAATAGGAAATTATGACCAGTGAAAGCTCTGGTCAACCAAGTAAAACTTTCTGCTTTCCCTCGCAAAGTACATAACCATAAGTCTGACTACTTAGACTTTAGGAACAATCAAAAAATTCAACTACTGTGAAATGATGGGTTCATAAATAACCTTGTCCAAAGTGTTGGAAATTGGTCTGTAAAATTGGAAGATGATTAAACTATTTTCCTTAATCTTTCTCCCAACTCTAACAATTTCTTTCCTTTCCTTTTGTCCTTTGTGTGGAGGACAAAGCCCATCAAGATTCATGCCAGCAATGCAACCATCCTTCCTCCAGGTCCCAACCCAACCGTAGATACATCATTTCAAATGACAATTCCATAGGAAATCAATAGTTTGAAAGGAAGATTGCTTCAGCCACCGTGGTGTGGACTGTGGGTACAGCCAGTGAATTCAAGACAGCAGACCCATTTGTATCCACTGCTCCTTCTAGCAGGATTGATTGCAGGTAACTTCCTCAGAGGGAAGGCAGAAGAGCTATTCATTTCTTCTTCTCTCTTCAACTGTTCCTCTATTTTATATCAAATAAAAACAGTTCAAAATTATAAATAACAGCAGGAGATGAACAAACACCCCACTCAAAAATACTAAGTAATTCCATGTGTTGTTTAAAGAGTGGCATTTTTTTCTTTTCAATCGCTTTTTCATTATTTACATTACTAGAAGTAGCTGAAATTCACTGATAATACACCACAGGATACCACATCTGAAAACGTCTACTGATGCCACGACTAACAGAGCTCCTTGTACCATTGTAATCAAACACAATCTAAAAAGTTTAAAATCTTATATTTTCCCTGATTTCCACATTTTAAACAAATATTACATACCTTTAACTACTTCTTTTAAATTATTTATTTTTTGAATGTTGTAAGGTATTAAAGAAAGCTAAGATTCAAAACAGAAAGGAGAAAAAAATCCAAACACTATAAGTACATCTCCCAAAGGTAGCATTCTTATATCTTGATCTCTTTTCCTAATATTTTTCTATGTAATTGTTTTTACATAGGTAATCTCATACTAAGAATGCAATTTTGCATGTCTATTGTAAAACCTTTAAAATGCAAGCATTAACATGACAATTGATGAGAAAAAATATAAACATGCCCCATATTCAAAGACACTGATCATAGGTATTATATTTCACAGTTACATAATAATATATTTTGTACAAGTACCATAATCTACTTGATCATCCTATTTCTACTTTTATTTCATTGCATCCATATTGTATTGTGCTACAAGACATAATTGTGAGGTAAACACTGACATGCCTTTCAAAAATCCTTGACACGTATTGACAAATCACATTAGAAAAGGGGTAAGTGCTTTTTCTTAGATATGTATCTTTAAAAGAAGCCTCTTTTTGTTCATTTCTGGGATAGATCATCAGAGCTGTCCAGATATCTTTATGTCAGTATATGAAACAGGCACTCTCTAAAGAGTTCTAATAAAGGATGGTACTATACTACTGAGGGAACCAGCCAAACAGCAAAGTGATGATCAGTTTAATCTCCAAAATTTTGTCTTACACTACATAAATGGTCAGACTCCTTGACACTACAGCTTCACAGTGACTCCACAAAATTACAGGCAATATTTCCTATTCTTCCCTCAGTACTCTAAGATTGAAGAAGGGAAAAATAAAGAGTGAATTTGGAAAATTAGGAGCTGC